ATGCGAACGCATTCCAAGCTTGAAAATGAACCGCTGGAAATCTGCACGACCTAAGGACTTGGTGAAAAGATCGGCCGGCTGAAGAGAGGACATGAGGTATTTTGGCAAGATAAAACCTTCCTTATACTTGTTGCGGACCACGTGGCAATCTATGTCAAGGTGTTTCGTGCGCTCGTGAAAAACCGAATTGGCCGTGATATGTAAGGCAGCATGATTGACACACCAAAGGGTAATCGGTGTAGCAATGTGAAGAGACAGATCCTTAGCAAGAAAAGAAAGCCATTGTAGTTCACAGACTGTACTGGCCATTGACCTATATTCTGCCTCAGCTGAAGAACGGGAGACCGTCTTCTGTTTCTTTGTTTTCCAAGAAATGAGTGCCTGGCCCAAGAAGATGCAGTAACCAGTGAGAGATTTCCTTGTAATAGTACAACTTCCCCAATCTGCATCTGAGAAAGCCTCTAGAGTCTGAGAAGGGGTAGCTGTGTAGAAAAGTCCCAAATCAGCTGTTCCATTGAGATATTTTACTAAATGAATGGCTGCATTCCAATGATCTTGAGAAGGGGCCTGTATAAACTGACTTAGTTGTTGAATGGCATAAGAGAGATCAGCCCTTGAGAGGTTCAGATAAAGTAATCTTCCCACAAGTCTCCTATAACTCTCTGGATGATCATAAGGTTTAGATTCCACAGAAGAGAGGTTTATGCCTTGAGGTAAAGGTGTAACAACCGGTTTGCAGTCTGCCAACCCTAAGTCACCAACAATATCAAGGATGTATTTCCTTTGGCTAAGGAAAACATCATCACCTGCTTTGTGTATCTCCAACCCTAGGAAATATTTTGCTTGTCCCAGATCCTTTATGGTGAAGAGAGTATCAAGATATGTCTTTAAGTGCTGTATGTTCCTTAAGCAACCCCCAGTAATAAGAACATCATCCACATAGATGAGCAAGATGAGGAGTTGAGTACCTGTCCCCTTGAAAAATAGACAGTGATCATGTGGAGATTGGACAAAACCATAGGCAATCAATTTGTCTGAAAACTCAATATTCCACTGTCTACTAGCTTGCTTCAGCCCATATAAGCTCCTCTTCAACAAACATACCTCACCCTTTGCAGCCTTGAAATATCCTTTTGGAGGTGACATATACACTTCCTCATCCAGGAAACCATGAAGAAATGCATTATTGATGTCAATGTGGTGTAACTCCCATCTATGTTGTGTGGACAAAGCTATTATCAGCCTTACTGACACAAGTTTGGCCACAGGAGAAAAACTGTCTGAGAAGTCTATGCCTTCTCTTTGCAAAAAACCCTTAGCCACAAGCCTAGCCTTGAACTTTCAATAGAGCCATTAGGATTCCTTTTGATTTTGTAGACCCACTTAGAGCCAATAGCTCTTTTTCCTGGTGGCAGTTGTGTGAGGATCCAAGTGTTGTTTGTTTCCAATGCCTCTAATTCCTTTTGCATTGCATTTACCCGTCTTTGATCACCAATGGCTTGTTCATAGAATAGTGGTTCTGTGGCTGTTTTATCAATCTCAGAGAAGAAAAGTTCCACTTCATCATTTTCTGGAATGTTTACTTCATAATCTGATAGCCAAGATGGTGGTTTCTTGCTTCTATGCCCTCTCCCAAGTTTCTCCTCAATGGTTCTTACTTGAATTGTATCTTGTGGAACATCATCTTGTATTGTTGGTTCCACTTCTCCTGTATCATCTACAACTGGTAGTGGAATGGCTGGTTGAGTGTTTGCAGTAACCTTCTCATGGAAAGGAAACTTATGTTCATAAAAAATTACATCTCTACTGATGAAGATTTCCTTTGTATTTAAATTGTAGACTCTATACCCCTTGGTGCCTGACATATATCCCAGAAAGACACAAGCAGCAGCTCTTTCTTCAAATTTCTTCTTGTGTGTTCCTAGATTGCTTGCATAGCACAGGCAGCCAAAAACCTTAAACATATTGTAAGCTGGCAGTTCTCCATGTAACAGTTCATAAGGGCATTTCCAACCTAGTTTTCCACTAGGCAATGTGTTTATAATTTGCACAGCAGCAAGAAGACTATAAGGCCAAAGTTCCTTTGCCAGATTTGACTGAAATGATATGGACCTAGCCACTTCAAGGATGGATCTGTGCTTCCTCTCAATAACTCCGTTTTGTTGTGGAGTGTATGGGCATGTTCTTTGATGCAATATCCCATTTTCTTTCAACAAACTGTTCATGTCTTTGTTAACAAACTCACTACCATTATCACTTCTTATTTGCTTTACCTTTACTCCAAACTGCACTTCTATCATTTTGAAAAATGATTTCAGGTGAATATGAGTTTCACTTTTGTACCTCATCAAATAGATCCAGGTGGCCCTTGTGAGATCATCAACAATAGTCAACATGTAGGAGACATTCAGTAAAGATTCCTCAAGGTGTGGACCCCACACATCCACATGAATTAACTCAAACCTTTGCTTACTTTGTATTTGACTGAGGGGAAAAGGTAATCTGCTTTGCTTTGACCTGTGACATATGTCACATGGATTTATTTCTTGAGTTGTATAGTTGTTCTTCAAGAAATGTAGGTGCTTCAGACACTGTGTAGAGCTGTGACCCAACCTCTTATGCCACAGCTGCATATCTTCATCTTGAGTGATTTCCTTGCCTGAAATATTTGCACATATTCCTTGTGCCTCAATCACATAGAGCCCAGCTACTGCTTTCCCAAAAACTATGACTGACTTTGTCCTCATGTCTTCCAGCTTGCAATCCTTATCAGTAAAAGTGAAGTTAATTGCATTGTTTTCAACTAACTGCCCCACAGATAGCAGATTATACTTGAATTCAGGGATCAGCAAGACATCTTTGAGAATGATTTGGTCATTAAAATGCACTTCACCTATCTCACTGACTTTCACCTTTGAACCATCTGGTAGATTCACAATCACAGGATTTTGAGTAAAAGATTTCTTGGTCATCAATTCATCTTCACAGCAAATATGTTTGCTGGCACCTGTATCCACAATCCAGCTTCCTTTCCTTAATCTACCAGTAAGTGAAAAGGCATAGTCCTCTTTGTCACTTGAATACTCCACAAAGTGAGAATATGTATTAGTTTCTGCATCTCTTTGAACTGCCATGTACCTTGCAATTTCTTTCTGAACTAAGGCACTTATATCTGGCAATGTGTCACTGTGTTGAGATTTTCCTTCTGAATCAGTTTTTGAAGAGTCATCATTGTCTGCCATGTTCACATTTTGAACCTGTCTTTGCTCTTTCAGTTCTTTGAACCAATCTGGATATCCATTTAGTTTGAAACATCCCTGGATTTCATGTCCATTGTAACCACAATGTGTGCAATACAATCTTGCTCTTTCTTCCTTAGACAGTCTAGGATTTCCTCTTCCTCTTCCACTATTAAAGTTCTATGCACCATAACCTCTACTTCCATTACCTCTCCCAAAGTTCTGTGTCCTGCCACCTCCTCCTCTCCCAAAATTTCCCTTAGCAAGCATAGCTAAGTTCTCAGTTTGAGTGGACATTGTCATGCCTACACT